GTATTTTCATGCTAATTGGTATTTCAAAGTAAATTTTTCATTGGGGTTGTAGAGATTTGCTATCTATCTAGCTCAACTCTCAAGGTGATTTATAGTCACGTAACAGGTCAAAATCTCGAATCTTTATAAAGATGTAAATATCTCTGCCCTATAAATTGGTAAGCCTGACTAGCTAGATGATGAAGCTAAGAACCTTACTAATTAACTTAGGTGAGTCTTTTTGAAGTTCCGATTTTTTAGTTGCAATTGAAAATTTGTTGTTTCTAATTCTAGTATACTTATTACTTACATTATACTATTATAGATAAAATTGAACATACAACGAAAAATGAAGCCCTACACTCATGAGCTCTCTTTGTATCATACAAGAACATTGGTGCTTAAGAATGGAAACTTGATTCTGAAAGAAATCTATATAATAAAACACATAGGACGTTAAAATTTATCCCCTGTACATTTTTCTCTTCAAAACCATCACATCATCAATTTCTATTACATATTCAATCATTTAATAGTTGATTAATTTGTAGTTTAACATACTTTTTTTTTCACATATATTGAGAAAATTTTGTCGAATTATGTATTTTAAGAAAATTTTGTCAATATTTTTAAGAAATAATGGGTAAAAATAACTTTTAAATGATGTAATTAAAGAAATGAGGGAAAAAAAAATTATTATCTAAGAGGCACAGATACTTCCCACAGGGGTGCCGTGGCAGCGTCGGACATGTGTCCGACACAGACACGGTCAGGACACGGTCGTACACGTGTCCGACATGGCTAGAAGTGTCCTGAATAATGAACTCAGTTGGACACGGTCATGATACGTCTAGGAGACGACAAAGATCCGTTTAGAACACGGTCAGGATAAGTTTAGGATACGGCCAATAATTTTTTTATTTAAAACAAATAATTTTTAACTATTAAATGAGTATAATTTTTACTTTTTTGAATATATTTTTTGTTGTGTAACTTATATACTATGAATGTTAATAGATGTAATGATGTTTGATGAAAATGGTGGATATTTAATTTGATCTATTTCAATTTGAATAAAAAAAATAATATTTGTTAGGTCTCATTATTAATATTGTTATAATATATGCTTTATTTTTAATATATTACAAATCTATTATTATTTAAAAAATATATTATATATGTCCCATATTTTTTGACTTTGTTGTATCCCCGTGTCCGTATCTGTATCCATATCCGTGCTTCCTATCATTTAATATATGATATCGATTTTTTGGGACTTAAATTTTATATTCTATCGTGCCTTCAAGCACGGGTTATGACTAGTGAATTTATAAGTAACCTGTATATACAATTAGCCATTTTTGACTGTCTATGGAACTAACCTCGCATTATCTATTTCCAAAACATGTTTTGTTTAAGTGAGGGACAATGAAGCTAAGAGCTAAACAACTCAATATTTCACGAACTTGTGAAGTTTAATTAAACCATAGTTATAACTCTGTAGGGCTGTTTATATGTGGATTATTTTTGGTTCCTTCTTTGAAATTCAATATCTTCGATGTTAATGTTTTTAGCATTGTAGTTAATGTAAAGAAAGCTTATAAAACAGACCTTTGTGTAACCACACCAAGGGAAATACAGTCATGAAATTGAGTATGCATTTCCCAAGCCCTTCCAAATGTGAAAAATGTGTAAACCTCCTCAAATAAGCTCTAATTTCAAAGACGAGTTTTCATGCAGCTACCAACAATCTTTGTTCTTGATCTAATAATGACAACTTAAGTACTGTAATTAAAGTCAAGAAGTATGGTTGGACACGTAAGACTGACAGTGAGGCCTTAAATTGTGGACTGAAGTTGTGGTCTCCAATCTTTATCTCTCTATGGTACATATTGTTAACATGTATGCTTCGAATTTATTGATGATGGATCTTCTTTCGTTAAGAATTAATGAAATGATTTCACTAATATGTTTTGTATCACAGCTGGACAGGAGAGATTTGGTACATTAACAAGCTCGTACTACAGAGGAGCACATGGAATTATTCTTGGTATGCTATCAAAAAAACTTATTCTGTAACTCTGAAAAATCCTCATTTTTGTCCCACACAACCACAAGGGATAATGAAAACTTTATATCCGACCACAAACTAGTTTAAGGCAGACAATAAGGTTGCAGTATGTTGTCTCCTATGCATCAAAAAGTCAAAACAAATGTTGCAGTGAGTTTGCAGTATGCTATGCATCAAAAACTCAAACAAATATTGCTGTTCTAGAAGATAAACTGAGTTTTTCTTGAATTATATCTGAAGTACATAGTATTGTGCTATGCTTTTACTTGTTCAGTGTCCCGCATTTTGTTTGGCACACTGGATCATTTATAAATCTTGTCTTCTGTGTGGACTGCAACGTCGAAATAGCAATCAAATCTTCTACTTCACATGTATGCTATGCAAAAAGTGGTTTCAGGTTGATTTTGGTTTATTTTTTTCTTCCATATTGCTAATTATGAAATTTTTACCAGTTAATGATGTGCTACATCTTTTACTTCATGATGTGAATGTTGTACAGAATGAGTTTATGCTTTGGTCATGATGAATGCAGTTAATTCTTGCATATTATTGCTGCACTAAGCTAGATCTTTTGTCCCATCTTTTCTTCAAATGCTCAAAAAAGAAGCCCTATTTCCTAAAAGAAATATAACCTGTTACCCTAAATTGGTATTTGATCTGCTTGTGCTGTTTCATTCTTGTGGTTGTTCACTGGCAACGTTGAAGTAACGACTTTGTTATTTACTTCTTACATTAGTTTATGATGTAACGCGACGAGAAACCTTTACAAACTTGTCAGAAATATGGGCTAAGGAAGTAGAGCTCTACTCCACAAATCATGAGAGTGTCAAGATACTAGTTGGGAATAAAGTTGATAAGGTAAGTTGTACTGCTTATCCCTTTGTATAGTAGTTGTACTTAATAACCATCAGGCTCACCCGCATTTACGTATGTATAAATATGTTAATGGCCTCAGCATATTATCTAAAATGAACATTTCCCACCAAAAAATCAGTCCAATAATACCACTCACTGGTAAGTAGCCATAGATTCGAACCCGTTCAATAGCATCTGTTTACATCGTGAATGCTTGTTTTTCCTATCCCCTTGTAGGAGAGTTGAGTACACCATTTCAATTTGCAGGACAGTGAGAGAGCTGTAACTGTAGAAGAGGGGATGGCTCTTGCGCAGGAGCATAAATGCTTTTTTCTTGAATGTAGTGCCAAGACTCGAGAAAATGTGCAGCAGTGTTTCAAAGAGCTCATCTTAAAGGTATGCTGTTCAGGCATTCGTCTACCTAACTGGCAGGTGAATTTGCACATGTTATAGTAGTTTTTCGATAGAACTGTTCCATCAATCATGTCAAAACTGAGTGAAAAGGTGGCGTACAATTAACAGTTGTCCTTAGAAACACTACAGCCACCAAAAGAAGAAAAAATAAGTAACTAGTAACAAACTAATATAACTTAGGTATTTGTTTTCAGAGTAGCACCTGCCACCTGTTGTTCGTAATGTGATTTCCGGGAGAACATTCCTCTTGCAATTTCTTTGATGGACTTTGTTTTCTTTGATAAAGGAGCTTGAGCCTGCTGTATTGAAATCATTTCAAAATTACTGCTGGCACAAATAGTATTATATGGAACTACATTTGCGTGACTATCCTCAATAATGCTGTTTATGCCTCTTAAGCTATATCTCTTTTATAACAAAGTATTCAGTTTCAGAAGTTTTATCTTTTTGTTAAGCTAAAAATATTCAGCTGTAGTTTTTGACTCGATACTGTTCAATGAGTTCTAACTCATCATTGATTTCTACAGATATTGGAGGTACCTAGTCTAATGGAGAAGGGATCTGTATTTGCAAAGAGACACATATTGAAACAGAAGCAACCGTGTCAGTCGAAACATGGTGGTAATTGTTGCTTTTAGTTGGAATTCCTGGAAAATGGGGGCATAATACAAAATCATAGTTCAAAATTTGAACTCTGTAACAACTGGTGCGTACAGCTATCTGAAGGTCAGATCCTTCCAGATGCTCTTTGTGATCAGCCAGCACAGATGGTGACATCTTTTTAATGAAATCTTTTGGACCTATTCTTCTTGCTTACTTTGGCAGTTTTGGGAAGATTTTGGGTTCATGTAGCGCCTATTAGTTGGTGCAGATCTGCTCTGTTCTTTCATTCATTTAATCTTTGGTCAGTTTGTATTAGAATTAGCTTCACACATGGGATGGTTGGAGATATCCATTAGGAAAGAAAGATAACGTGGGTGAACAGTGGCCTTGTATACAAATAGTTTTGTAATTATATAGTCAAACATAAGATTTGTAAAGCATGCTCAAAACAGGGAAGTGACTTTGTTTGCATGTTGCTCTTTCCAGACTTGCTAGCTTTCTGTGTTAAAATGAGATGGGGTATGTTCTTCATACTAAGGACACATATCAGTCAGAAGCTAGAAAAAGGCACGTTGCATCGAGTTACCTAACGGGCCAGGAAAGATTCGAGCTGCTGCCTCGCGATCTTTAGAACAAGAAATGCTACCCGGGTAATTTGCAAAATTTCAAGAGATTTGATATCTATTCTAATGCAAGAGAGAAAAAGAGGCATGCTCTGAAGATGATGGAGAGTATGAAGATTCCCCACATACTTGAGAGGGCTGTTGGGATGTGAAAAGGAAGCCAGTATGATGTGTGAGACAAAGGTTGCTGTTTTTTTTTTTTAAATTGACATCCTTATTTGGGATACAAAGTTTGAGATTTTGAGTGTTAAGATTCTTTTGTGCATCTTATCATCTATAAATTGTAACTTACAATTTATCACCAAAAGTTTATGATATTATTATTGAGGTTTCTTGTGTGTCACTGGAATAGTTAAAAAACAAGGTTGTACACACTTTTTTTTTTTGAACTGTCTTCTTTTTAAGGGAGATGGGCGACCAATAGGTAGTAACCGTCTTCTGGGAGTGACCATGAGGGTCTTTCCACTATGGAATGTTCAGTTTGAACTATAACTACTAACTTGGAAGGGCAGCCCGTCACCATAGCACTATCAAAGTCAAGCAGCAAATGACGTTGTTCCACTGAATTGAATTTTGCTTGATAACCACATGAGAGTCAAGGATAGCTCTAAACGGGTACGGTTTACCACTAGACCATCAGCTCGGGTGGTGGTTGTACGCACTTCACAAGGCTGTCATGTACAACTAGCATTTGGAGAGGAAAACACTAGCAATTGCTCCTGGTTTAACCTCTATCTCCTCAATTGAAAATTGTTTTAAGATATGAAAAGAGAAAGAAGAAGTCAAGAGGAAGAGAGAGTTTGTGAGAATGTTGGTGGCAGTTAGAGAGAAAGCCCGAAGAATCAGATTAGGGTCATCTCACTTATCCCCATTTATTTATAATAATAGTAAGACTGGAAGTATATAAATACCTCTCATGGCATATAAGAAATCTCTTAACATGATATAGCAATATCAATATGATATACCAATATCTGTCACCAATATGATATACAACATGATATACCAATATCTGTCATCAGTTTTCTGTTGGCCAGCATATTAATATAATTAATATCGCATGTTAGGGTTTCTCGTTTGAATTTTGATTTTAATATTGATTTTTAGACTCAAACTTACAATGTATCTTCGCATCCTCTTGTATCATTGGGACTTCCCTATATTTCAAAAGAACTATCAATTGAAAGAACAAAAGACATATGCCACATTGGTGTCACATGACAAGGAACAGATCCATCTCTCAACGTTTTGCTAAGGACTGTTTCATACAGACAACAAACTTAAGTCTTCAGGTTGGCAAAACAAGGCTATACACATCATTGTTTTTTCAGAAAATCTGCCGGCATACCACACACAAACGCACACTCCATTGTTATTTCCTCTTCTCAGTGGGCTTTGTCAGCCATTTCCTTAGGAATCTCCACCTATCTTTCCAGGGCGGCCTACCTTTCAACTTACATAAGAGCTATATAAATTAACACCCTCTGGTCTGAGACAAGAGGCAAAGCAGAAAGGACCCTCGTAGGACCTTCCCACCTAGTAATGGCCTCTTTTCGCCCTTTCGAGTGGCTAATCATTTGCACAACATTGTTTGTTGTTCTTGTTGCCCGAGTCATTGCCATTGACATCTACCATGAATGGGTTGTTTCCACTGACACTACAATTAGACCCGTGTCGTCTCCTCAACCTGTATGTAATTACAGTTCTCAGTTTTCATAGATGTGCATTTGGGGGTGTTCTTCTACTCACTGTTTGTGTGTGTTACAGGTTATCACCATTAATGGAATGTTTCCAGGACCCCTCATCAATTCCACAACCAATGATTTTGTCCATGTCAATGTCTTTAACAAGTTGAACGAGCCAATACTCTTTACATGGTATATATAACCTTTGGGCTGCTTTTTTATAGTTCCCTAGTTTCTTTACCTTATACCATAATCATTAGTAGTAGAAAAAGCTAAAACTTAATCAATGGGGTCTCTTGTAACCGATCCCAAAAAGATGGGGACTGTTCCTAATCTGAACATTTTAGGATGATCCCAATTTTTTTTTAGTTATAACTTTCCCTAGATGGGTGAGTTTTTGGGATCCAGCCAAACATTTTGGGAAAATCCCAACTTTTTTTTGTGTCGTAAATAATCTTGATTGAGTCACAACTCACCTTTTTGAATCTTAGCTTAATCCCGATTGACTCGAAACTAGCACCAATCGAGTCGATACCTTCAATACTTGTGCAGGAATGGCATACAGCAGAGGCTAAACTCATGGCAAGATGGAGTGTCTGGCACAAACTGCCCCATTAAACCTGGTACTAACTGGACTTATGTGTTCCAGACCAAAGACCAGATTGGCACTTTCACTTACTTCCCCTCCACCGACTTTCTAAAGGTTGCTGGAGGATTCGGACCCATCCGGATCAACAACCGAGATGTCATCAGCATCCCTTTTGCCAAACCAGAAGCTGAGTTTGATCTTCTCATTGGTGATTGGTTTCAATCCGACTATTGGGTAAAAGAACTAATAAATTCTTCAGGCTGTTAACTTGGCTCGGTCATATTATAAAATGAATTGAATTTGAATGCATTTGTCATTGGTGATTGGTTTCGCAGTGACTACAAGGTAAAAGAATCCGACATATTCCAATACAAGGCTAGTAAGCAATTCGAGCAGCTTAAACTAGACTTGTATTCGATTCGTCTAAAATTTTCTAATCTTGTTTTGTAAATGAGTCACATTTGAATGATGTGTGGCTCAAATCAAGTAAACCCAGTTCGAATTGAACGATTTTTATATTTGTAAGTATTTCTAATTTTATTATTAAACAACCCATATTCAAAAGATGAAACAAAATTCAAGCTTATCTTCAAATAGCAATAGAACATTGGGGAAAAGCCAAATAACTATAGAACATATAAAGTTTTTCTCTCCCTCTTTTCTCTAATAGATGTCTGGAAATTTTGAATTCTAAGATTTGCTTTTGTAGTCAATTATATATACTCCAAGAGATGTTTGCTTAGCAATCTGTTATTTAAGGATTGATTATTAAATTTGTGGTTCAATTTTATAAAAATTTTGCTAAGAAATTGAGATTCGTTTCGGTTCAAGTTCAATTGGAATAGTCACTAGCTTTTAAGAGTGAGCGTATTAAAAATCAAAGTTCGCTTTGATCGAGGTTCAAAGTTCAAATTAATTACTCAAATCTAAGTTGGAGCTTGAGTGTACTCAACCTTGAGAGATTCAATTCAATTAACACATTATTTTAATATTGTACAAGCCACACTTTGGTTATCAATTACTATGGCCAATGCTTTGGTGTTGATTGCAACAGATAGTTAGGTCATTGGTGAAGTACAATTACGAGAATTTTGGTGATGTCCCTGATGTGATGTTGATGAATGGCAAAGGCCCTTATGGGGACCCAACTTCAAAAGCCTTTGAGTCCTTCACTGTCACACAAGGTAAGGAAAGAAAGGCAACTTTCTGTATCTTCATTGAAGTTATTAAAATTTACTCCCACTATCTTTCACAATATTGAACACCTCTGTACAAAGTTTGTAAGTACTGTGTCGAAGTTACTACAAAATAAAGGTGAAATTATGAGTAAATCCGGGGTTACAACAATACAAAGTTGGTTGAAACTTATCCCCCCATTGAGTTGTAATTTGATCTAAATAGGTTGTAACAAGACCGTACTTGGTTACAGGAAAAACGTATCGATTCCGAATATCAAACGTGGGGACTGCATTCAGTTTCAACTTCAGGATTCAGAACCACCAGATGGTGTTGGTTGAAACAGAAGGATCATACACCAACCAGATCACACTGGACTCTCTTGATGTGCATGTTGGCCAGTCCTACTCTGTTCTTGTCACTGCAAATCAAAGTGAAGCCGATTATTACATAGTGGCTTCTCCAAAATTGTTCCTCACTTCGAATACCAGCTCCCGTGTGGCCAAAGGGGTCCTGCACTATGTCAATTCTACTTCAACAGTTGCGGGACCTTTGCCAACAGGACCCGATCCATTTGATGTTGATTTTTCGATAACTCAAGCTAAATCTATCAGGTAAATCAGCTCTGATCTGCCAAATTTTCAGCTAAACAGTTCTATCTATTTATTTTCGATGATGATGTTCACTGCCACATAAACCAACTTGTCAGATTCACATTTTACCTCAGTTTCTATATCGAAGCTAGTAAGGGTGAAAATATAAATTGAATGGGGTATCATTTTACGCGGTCGAGAGTCCAATATCAATGTGATTTGGATAAAAAAAAACTGTCATCTTCATAGCTCGTCGTAGGTAGCCTGCTTCGACGTGGCTTTTACGTGCATGTCATTGGAAAAACAACAACTATCCACAGTTAAAATGTCCTTAAGTTGTTAATGCGGATTCTAGTAGTTGACATCCTCCATAGAAACTCGCATCCAAAGCTAGTTTCGCTATGGATTTTTCCTCGTACACTGGACTGTCGTTTTTAGTCTCATACATGCGATTTCTCCTTGTATAGGTGGAACCTGACTGCAGGAGCTGCAAGGCCTAATCGACAAGGAAGCTTCAATGTGACAAACGTTACCCTTTCGCAGACATTTATCCTCCATGGATCGGAAGCTAAAATTAATGGTTTCCCATACTACGTAGTCAACAATGTCTCGTATCTCACCCCCGATACCCCATTGAAACTTGCCGATCAATTTGTAAACGGGTCGGGTGTATACCAACTTGATACATACCCTGTCCACTCTATCAATGACGCTGCATCAACTGGAGTTTTTGTTGTGACTGGAGTCCACAAAGGGTGGCTGGAAATTGTGTTCAAGAATGATTTGAAACTCATGGATTCTTGGCATTTGGATGGTTACGGATTCTACGTTGTTGGGTAAGCTTGTTATACCTACCAATACCATAGCTGTTTTTCACTGCCATTACTATATGTTGATTCTTAAATGTTATTCAATTTCTCAGCTACTTGTCTTTGCACAATATAATGTTGCTCAGATTAACGCTATTGTTTTCTATATAAATCACACTACGTCCCATGAACTATGCCACTCATTCCACATTACCCCCCTAAACTGTTTTTTCTCTCACTTCGCACAGTAAACTATTGGTTTGAGCTTTTCACATAGCTATGGCCGACACTATAAGCAAGTGAAATGCTAACTTGGGTTCCCCAAATTATATTTTTGATTTTTATAAAATGGGTTAATCTGGGTCAACAATATAATGGAATAAGAGCCCGCCCGAAAGATGTAAATTTGATTATCTCTCATCTTTTTTAATAAATTTTACACTCCCACCAACTCAAATGGTCACATTTGATATCACTCACATAAAAGATCACACGTTATCTCTTCATTTGTTATCAATCAAATCATTCTCTATAATTAGGGCATATACAAATATATTTACATAAATAAATCCTGCCTACATATCTCTTTCTCACTCTCCCAATCTCTCTCATTCATATGTTTTTACGTTCATAATGCATTGAAAAATAGCACAGCTATAAAGTAGCATAAATCCTTGTTCTTCATTGAAAAAATGGCATAGCCATAAAATAGCATTAGTGATATTTATAATAAATTTGTAAAGGCCTTCGCTTAAAGTTTTCGCTTAAGGCCCCAAATGTAATTGAGCCAGCCCTGACTTCACATTGTCTTGATTGTTAATTATTGTCTAATTTTTCGTGGGAAATCAGTGAAAAAATGAAATTCCACAATGTTACGATGTATGATGTTTCCCACCTTAATTGGGCAAAATTATTTTTTTGTTATGACTATTTGGGCAGCGTGAAACTCAAATCAATAATTTAAGGTACACTATGATAAAGCAAATAATCTATGGGCCGTTGTGGAATGAGGAGGTAGAGTTTAAGGGGTTTAAGTGTAATTTTTTAAAACATTAACTTTCTTTGTTTTGTTTTTTTTTGATCGATTATTCTTCTGAGAGAGTTGTGAATGTGAATCTGCAGGTTTGGAGAAGGAGAATGGACACCGGAATCTCGCACTTCCTACAACCTCTACGATCCCGTTGTTCGGTCCACGGTTCAGGTGTACCCCGGAATGTGGACAGCAGTATATGCATTCCTTGACAATCCAGGAATGTGGAATTTGAGATCACAGCACTTGAAGCATTGGTTCCTTGGTCAAGAACTCTACATCAGGGTACACGACGATGATCCCAACCCTGCCAAGGAGCGGCCGCCACCGGAAAACCTTCTTTTATGTGGTTAGTTCCATCTGTCTTTCAGTTTTTTGTCCTCACAATATCAAACACTATTGTTTAGTTTTTCACCCTCTGCATGGCCAAAAAAAAAAAAAAAAAAACCTTTCTCAATTAAACGTGGTTTCAAACTTATTTCTCAATAATAATTTTTGCATAATATCATTTTAAATGATCCAAAAAAAAAACCTTTCTCAATTAAACGTAGTTTCAAACTTATTTCTCAAACTTGAGTAATAAATTTTAAATAATATCATTTTAAATGATGTTTATATGTTGATAAATGCCAGTACAAATGATACGATTCTCTCTTCAGAATAATGTTTCATAAAAATACTTTGTATTGAGAATATAGATTAAAACTACGTAGCTTTTGGAAATAATATTTTGGTATAGTGACAAACTCAAACAAATGTATGTTCACTGGTTAGAAATTCTCCTTTCTCTTTCTCTCCAGGAATTTTCAATGATTCTTTTGCACCGGCCCCGGCTTCGCCTTCCCCCTTTCCGGCTCTGGATCCGTCTCCGCCAGCTCCAGCTTTGACTTCCCCGGCCCCAGCTCCGGCCCCGGCCCTAGCTTCGTTTCCCCCTGTTCTGGTCGTGGCCCCGTCTCCGTCGGATCCAACTTTGACTCCCTCAGCCCCAGCTCCGGCACCAGCCTCGGCTCCCCCTGTTCCGGCCCTGGCCCTGTCTCCGCCGGCTCAACTCTAGCTCCGTCCCTGGTCCCAGCTCCAGCTCCCCAGGCCTCATGGTGATAGGAGATGCTGATCCATAATAATTCATTTTAATGCTAATACTTGCCTAGTCATGTATTTGATTTTTCTCTGTTTACAATCGATTTTGATTTAGTTGAAATGAGGTTTTATCCAAAATCATGTTTTTTTTATCAAACTTATACCCAAAAAGAGTACTTTTGAAAGTATTTCTCAAACCCATATAATTTTAAAAAGGTCATTTGAATTGACATTTTTACTGATAAAACGTTATTATCAAATTCGTTTTGTGTCGCAATAGAACGTTAGTAGAATTGACGTATACATATTTAAAATGTCAATATAGTTGACGTTTTTTGTATTTAAAATATTTTGCCTTTTTATCCGATCAAGTTAATTTTTCAAAATTAACAAAGTAGGAAACACAAATTGAATTTAATTATTACAAAATAACTTTCAAACGTTTATATTTAATTATTTTTAATTTAACATTTAAACATAACATTTTGTGATTGATGAGACAATAATGTCTATTAAAATAAAGTGAATTGTATGTAAAAATCTAATTTATTCATATCAAAAAAATTGAGCATTTATTTCATGACACTTTCCCTTGCAATTGATGGGATAAAATAGTGTCAATAATATGGTTGATGTTCAAAAAAATATAGAGGATTACCGAATACCCAAAAACTTGATGGAAAAAAAGTGTCTAACGCATTATCGTCTAAATCAGAGAAATTAAAAAGTTCAGGGTTGGAAATAAGTAACAGATTTTCTAAAATTTCAATTTCAGCATATTTAGGATCAAAATACTCAATTTTTGCATACTCGATTACATGAAAATGATCAAATTGATGCTGCATTTGATCATTTTCATGTTCAAGCTTTCCTATGATCTTGTCATGAATGTTTGAATTTATTGGATTGTAAATATCAGTTGAACGTGTCTTCGGTATTGTAAGTCCATGCCAACGACAAAATACTTCAAGACTACAACATTTGTCATACAACTGTCGCCATCTTAGTATGAGTTCGATATGAGTACTCGAAGGTGGATTGCTAGTTGCAGACCAAACAATTACATGTCCAACTTGACTAAATGGGTGATAAGGGTCAATGGGCTCGTTGCGAAACTCATGCTTTCATCCATACCACGTTACACCACAGAAATCTGTATAGAATCCAACAGAAGGAACTCTGTTCAATGATGTTGATCGGTCAGTTGAGCGTTCACGTTTGTTGGCTGAAGATGAACTATTTTGTTTATTGCGTGAAGAAAAATCTTCATTGGTTTGGCTGTATTGTGTATTTAATGTGCACATATACAATTTGTTTAGTATCATTTACACAATTGAGAATGATAGTATATATAGGCTCAGTTTGACAATTTAAAATAACAGTGAAATGATATCACATTGCAAAATGGGGACATGAATTGATATTGATTAAATAATGAACTGATTTGATAATGACAAGACGTGACAATAAAAAAGTTGTGATATGAAAAAACACTGAATAGACTGATAAAACTATGAGAATGATTCACACTAATTAGGACATACAAATAAAAGTCATATGCACAATCAGTTGGATACTGATTACATTTGTTAATTTTCATCAGACATATACTCATATGATAGGTATTGTACATTAGACAATACAATAGATCGCTAAATAGTTGTCAACTTCGTTCCATATGCAATGGTCACCTTGTTAGTTGCTAATTGGAGCATATAATATCAACATTTGCACACCATCATCTTATTATTCTCTTTTCATACACGTTTAACTTCTGCTTCGTAGTCCACTATACTCCTTTGTTGCATGCTAAGTGGAAGTCTATGTAGCACCGGTATGCCAAGTTCTCTTAGAACTGTGCATAATGAGTGTGATTCATTAGCACGAAAAGTCTACTCTCATCGGAGTTCGACATAATATTCTTTTGGATAAGAAAAACTCACTCTTGTAATCATTATTTCGCTCTAGTAACAACCAAACTCGTTGATGTCTGCAGCTGTTATTGATTGTAGATGGTCTTGATGTAGACATAATGTTCAATACATGCGATATCAACCATCCCTTATTGTGTTTTTAAAGTGGTTTTAATAGATGATCGTTACATATTAAGGTTTTGGTCATTGTGTTCAACTATGATAGATTTTTATTGTGGCTTGACACTGGTAGACTGTCACACGTTACAGTGTTGTTTATTCAACATCACTCTATTTGAATCAGGTTTGAGAAACTTCAATGCAGCAGTGTGTAGGTCATCCATTGAAATAAGAGTTCATTCAGTGTGACTACACACTAATACCTCTCATTCGTTGAAGTTACTCAACCATGATTCACACTGATAACATGACAAATACATTAGTGTATTGTCATTGTGACTACACACTAATTGCTGTCATTCATTGAGGCTACTACAACCTGATTCACACTAATAAAAGGATAAATGCATCAGTGTTTTTTCATTGTGACTGCACATTGATTGTTGTCATTCATTGAAGTTACTACACCCTGATTCACACTAATAAAAGAACAAATGCATCAGTGTTTTGTCATTGTGATTGCACACTGATACCAGTCATTCATTGTGGTTACACACGCCACCTCACATCCCTACTGCATATTTATTCAACATTTGTGAAATCAAGGTTTTGTACACATTTCATAAGTATTAGGGTTTTTGTTATTGTGTTCAGTTATGATAGAGTTTGATTGTAACTACACACCGCTACATTGAGGTGTAACACAATGTTGTCAATTCATTGGTTTGACTTTATTTGAAATAGGGTTGTGGCACCTCATTCTTGTGCGTTGCTAAATAAGAAACAGATTTAACATGACAATTGCATCTATGCCATTCATTGTGACTAAACACTGTTTCAATGTCATTCATTGAGACTGCAGGCTGACGTACTCACATCCATATTGCACATAAGGTTCAATGCCTGTGCAATGTTCAATGTACACACTTTATCTCTAACCATGAATTATAGTCTGCGAACGGCGTTTGAATCTCTAGGTTTTCATTGGACATTAGAGGATGAATTTTTTTATCTAATGAATCCTCACTTACGATATTCACAAATGGCTAGAAACACAATGATGGTTGAATGACAATATCATTTGACGGAAAGGGAAAATCTAAGCGTAGATTTACGTTCTTGCAACATACGAAGGCCTCGACAAGTTGTCATTGGTATGCCTATTACCACTCCTCAAGAATTAGAGCGAGCATTATTCCGTATTCAAGTTGACAACAATCGAATGGTAATTTATTGCAATCGGTACAGCCTTCGTCGTATCGCAAGAGGCCGTACTGCAGAAGGGATGATACAAGAAGAAAAAAAAAGCTTCCAGTTGAGTGGGGAAGCTGAATGTATTTCTAATGTGGAGATGTTTGACGAAGATGAAGACTCATGAATAAGTGTAGAAGCAATTTTAAGCTTCCAGTTCAGTGGGGAAGCTGAATGTATTTCTAATGTGGAGATATCTGACGAAGATGAAGACCCATGAATGAATAAGTGTTATGCAACTATTGTGTTGTAACATTTAGACAATATTGTCGTATTTGTGTTTCCAGTAAGTTGTTTTTTTATGTTTCTATGAAATATGGTATATTACTCCAGTTATTGTTGTCCATTCGTATTCGATAAATTGTGTTAAAGTTAGTTGAAAAATATTGCATACAATATTTGATAACTAATTTACAATGCAGTAATGTAAGTATTGTGTAACAAAATATGAACCCAAAGAGTTTTTATATAAAACAATACTTAAAAAATATTTACAACAAAGATAAAAAAAAAAATAGACTACGTCCCACAACGTGGTGGTTTCCTCTGTTGCTTGGGCTGTTGTCCATCAATAGGTTCTAGAATCTCTTGAGTCACTCCACCATCTACAGGATCATGTGCATAGTGGGTACGACAATTGATTCCATGCCCATCTGTGCCTCGCTCGAAAGAGTTCTCATATGGAATAAGAGAGGTAGGCTGATGGGGGCAGTAGTAGGACAGTCTGTGGAATACAATGTACATTGGGAAATGATGTACCTGTCTAGTCCAGGACATATGACATATCTCTTGTAACCACCGGGTCCTATGAAGGTGTGCGTGGTGACGGTGATGTATCCACATGTGGTGAGGTTAGTGGTGGAACAAATGATGTCACAATATGTCTGTGGAAGAGGGTCAATAGGTGGTGTAGTGGCATGGTCAACAACGGGTGGTGGACTGTAATAATTAGCAACAGAGACACATGGTGAAGTGGACAAGCTCCAATGTCACGGTGAAGTTGACTCCACAACATCCTTATAGAACTCCAAACCATTTTCTTTCTATTTTGCTACCTTATCTCGATGTTCAAAATGATACTTAGTGACCTGATAGAATATCGATTGCACACAAGTAATTATGGGCAAAAACTTGGCACCTTGGAGAACACTATTAAAAACTTCAGAACTGTTGATGTTTATTTTGAGGAAAATGATGTTTGCTTGATGACGGAGAGACATAACTACAATGCTTATACTGAGAGAGAGAAAGAGATGGTGTTGCAAAATAGTGTTGCTTGAAATTTTACAGAACTTTAAACTTATACCAAATCTCAAACAATTAGTGGAAATTTTAAGTTACACAATTTAAATTTAAAGTTAATCTTAATTATTATTATATTTTTTTTAAATTAAAAATTCAACCTCATATAGAAGTTAAATTATAAAAGAATAAATGAAGAATGAATAAATGAGTACTTAACAGAAGTTGAAAAACACACAAAAGGTTTCGTGTTAATTTAAATTACATTACAAGGAGGAAGATAGAATCAATACAAAATTGGCAAAAATGATTTCTCAAGTAAATATCATCAACACGACAAATGTATAAGTGAACAAACTAAGGTCCTACTTTGTTAAACCACAAATTAATATTGCAAATTACCTATGTTAACAATACAACTTAGCATATCGATTAATCAAAACCCAAATTAATGAATAAACCCACAAACACCGGTGCATATCGATGAATCACACCACAAACACTAGCATATTGATAAATCAAACCACAAATTGACGGTGCATATCGATGAATTAAACCACAAATTGACGGTGCACAAAACATGAATTAAACCACAAAATAACAATGAACAAAAGATGAATCAAACGACAAAAATAGGTTGACACAAAATAATACTAACAGTGAGAGCATACTGTGACAGAGAGAGAGAGACACAGAGAGAGAGAGAGAGAATGAGAATGAGAGTGACAGAGAGGGAGATAGTCAATCACATACAAATTGGGACTCCATTGGTCTTCAACGAATTAGGGGCTCCAGTGGAATTCAACCCAGCAACTCTAATGGCCACAAACAATTACTCTGAAAATGGTGGTGGTGCCAGGTCTGGTGGTTTCGGATGGTGGTTGTGCTAGGTTTGGTGTTTTGAATGGTGGTGGTGCGGGGGGATGTGGGACAGTGATGGTCATAGTGGTGGTGTGCTTTGTGATGGTTCGGGATGGGGGTAGTCGTGGTGGTGGTAAGGGATGTGGGTGGTTGTGATTTCGGATGGTGGGGGCTTTTGTGATTTCGATTTAGGGCTCGCAATTTTGGGGGAAAATTAGAGAAAGAAGGAAGAAGGGAAAATATAGAAAGAAGGTTGGGGTCATAAAACAAACACATAAAACGTTGGTCAGACCATTTGTTTAGAAGAACGTTGGTCAGACCAACGTTTTTAAGTGACTTTTTTAAATTAAAAAAATTTATTAAGATGTTGGTTGGAATGACGTTATTACATGAAAACGTCAGTTCAAATGATGTTTTTAAAATTATATAGGTTTGAGAAATCCTTTCAAAACTGCTCTCTTTTAGGTATAAGTTTGAAAAAAGGCATAGTTTTGGGTAAAAGTTCAAGGTGAAATATTTCTTTGCTGGAGGATTCATCCCTTACCTCTAGCTATAACTGTATTGTTATTATGTTTTGTACTTGCATAAAAGAGAGAATATGTGATTTTTATTTTTATTTTTCAATTCATCGGCTAATTTCTTTTGTAGTTCGGTTAAAGACAGATCATCCACGTCACTAGTAAAGTATTTATAAGGGATAAATTTCTCATAACCTAGTACTAAGGGGTTACTAAGATTTGAATTTACGACTCATTTTTATTTTTTCTTGAATTACCTGTTGGGATTAAATATGCAAAAAATTTTCAATACAACAATCGGATAACTATCCCCTCAAGCTTGAGTCTCAAAATAAACGAATAACAAACGAAAGATGAAACATAAATCATGGATTAACTAGTTTCTGTCAATGTGTAGCATTTCCATGTATTATGTTATTAGCAGTTCTGTTCTGTGAACAATCCAAAAGAGAAGCTTTCAGAGCTGAGAGAAAGTATAAACAAACACGGACTGATCAATGTCCAATCTGAAGGTGAAAATCTCACACTGTTATGGCCACATGGCAAAAGGGGTGAATTATGCTTTGACCCCTTTAACTATGTCTCATGTCTCAAATTATGCCGTAATTATAATATTTTTTCACTTTGTACCTGCAACTATGGTTAGTGATTTCATATTAAATCGTTACATCATATTGCACCTCCAATTATAATTAGTGGTTTCACATGACCCCAAATTTATATAAATTTTTAGTTTACCACATATTGAGACATTCCGTTCAAAATATAACACGACATATGGTTTGGGGGTTGTTTGAAATAAATTAAAATAGTTGAGGGGACAGTATGAGATCAAGACCATAGTTGATAGGGTAAAATTGTAATTTAACCTAAAAGCTATACAATAAACATACGATTTAAGAATGCAAATTCGTTGCTTTCACTCGCAAATGCTGAAACAAAAACAACCCAAGAGTCATTCTTTGAAGAAGATTTTATATATAGCGGATGGGATTGCACGGCACAACATTGAAACAAAGCATAGCTCTTACTCCAAATTATAAATTCATTTAGTTTTAACTCATTCAAGATATATATCATAGTACTATAGATTTTATAGCATTTCCATGATTATATTAAACCCATCAAATGAAGGGTATGTCAAAAGAGTAACCATTATAAGAAGTTCCTCCTGCTCTATAATTTGGGGAGGATAGATACTTATAAGTTATAATGTGTATATGTCACAATAGAGTAATCATGTCATAAAAATATGATCTCCCAATACTAGAATGTTCAAATTTTCGATTACTAACAAATTTCGATTCTATCCTACCCTACTCGACTCTATTTATCGATTATCCGAAAGAATTAGGTAGGTCAATGAACGATTTTTTGGTATCGAATTTATTGTATTTTTTTTTTGATTTATTGTGTTAGTTAATTGAAGCAGGTTAATTAATTAATTTGTTAAAATAATTCAACAATTAATAACAAAAAAATATGTATTCACCCGATTTCCTGTTCGATTGTTTTAGACGGAATTCGGGTGAGAATAATACACTTGATTAGGTAAGATAAGTTAAGAGAAAAATTTTTAGCAAAATATTGGGTTTTTACCCGTAGACTAGGGGGAACACCACTTCTCAGTACGATAAAAAAAAAAAAAAGAGGGAAATAAGCCATTCACTTAGCAAAAGATTCTATGAACAAGCCTTGAACCTTAACCTTTTATCATTTGACCAATTTTCAGTAAAACATAATTCAATGAATGTCAATACGAGTTACCCTAAATTTTGAAATTCTATTTTTGACCAATTTTATCGGTATATTGGGGAATATTTTGAGGTTCAGAACATGATGATTTGCACTCTTCATAATTTCCCAGATGTTTTAGGTTAGGATGGAACTAAGTGATACGATACTGAAATTCCTTGTCGACCTATATTTTTAATTTATTTTCAATCATTAATTACGAAAATAAAAAATAAAATAAAATAAAATATAAAAATAAGAGGTATGATACTGACTATTTTTGGTTCCCTAGTTGCACCCATCAAATTAAGATATATGAAATTTAGATTTAATATAAAAAGATGGATTCCTATTCTTTCAGAATACTTTTCTCGATTTTTGTTCTCATATATTCGGATCAGTTTTATATATTATAATTAAATCCGTCAATCGTGTCGAGTCTTAGCGGGTTCGTATTAAAAAATACACCACCCATACTCGATTCGTCTATAAATTTGCGTATAACAAGTCATGTTATATTGAGTTCATGTCGTATATAAATCTTGTAAATATTGATATATAAACGAATCGTGTCGTATATTTATTTTGATTAACTTCACCCTTATTCGATTCGTTTATTAATCACGTCGTGTTAGGCCTGTTCGTTTATAAAACAAGTAGCTTAAGGAAGATTTATATTTTGACACTTCTAACTATAACGTGTCCTATTTAAATCCATGATAAATGATCTGCCATATAATAATAATAATAAAAAAAAAACATGAATTCTAAATCCTTTTTTTTAATGACAGACCTCAATCTAAAACATGATTTCAAAATCCACCAAAATATGTCACTATCCAAAACGAATTGGGAATAGGAAGCCTACAAAATTTCAAGTACTATAAAACCTATAGAAAAAGCAACAACCTTCATATGCCAACCACGCCCTAGTGCGTAACAAACAAGGCTACATGAAACAAAACACAAACTGTTTCTTAGATTTGTCCTAATCAAACCTCTTATTTAAATCAATCTCCTTCTTGGCTCTCTATATTCACTCTGAAATTTTCATCACTTTCTCTTCCTTTGGACTGTATTCAATCCTCTTAGTCAATTCATAGAGAGAATCCACCACCACCATGGCTCTCTTTGGTGATTTTTCACGACTAATCTTTCTCCTGACTGTTCTGACACTCTTTTCTTCAGTAGTTAACTGTGAGGATATTTTTCTGGAGTGGCATGTAGCAGTTGACATGACGATCAACCCAGCGTCGGTGGATCAACCGGTATGAATTAGAGCTTCATGTTTTTGTTAGGATTTGATTGAGAGAAAAGGTGAGTATATATATATTGAAAGTTTCTGTTTTTTGATTTCTTGCATGAAAAGGTTTGTGTTTTTGTTTGACAGGTTATTACTGTCAATGGGATGTTCCCTGGACCTCTTATTAATGTCACAACGAACGATAATATTCATGTCAATGTGTTCAACAATATGGATGAGCCATTGCTCATGACATGGTAACACACTCTCTCTCTCTCTCTCTCTCTATTTGTCTTTTTCTCTCTCTGTACATAGTACAAAGAGCCATGAGAATCTTTGCCGAGAAAACCTAGAATTTAACGGTAAGGAGCATAATATATCACTTAATCTTTTTGAAGATTTCATGCAGAAAATAGTACACGAAGAGATTGATCATATCAAAGTCAAAATTAAGTAAGAGTATAAGGCAATCACGAAGCACATTTAGTGTTGTTGGTGTCTCGTAATCCACTATGATTTACACCCGATTCAACATAATGTATGAGTTTGTGTTGAAAATTATTTAGAGAATTTCCCGAACAAAGAATTTCATGAGCAGTCCATGGAGAATAGAAAAGATCTATTAGAGTTTGAGTTTGTGTTGAAAACTATGCCAACCATAGTTCGTAAATTGGCTGAACTCAACTTCGTTGGAAGGCTCTTGCTGTCATAACTTCTTTCTGTCTATTTATTTATTTACTTAATATTATTATTGAATTGATTGTGACTATCAAAATATGAGGATCCGTCGATACGAATACGACACAAAATTAGGGGGTTTAAGTCTTATTTAAACTACTCGTTTAATAAACGCGTCGACACGTCTAATAAATGAATCGGGTATGAGACACAATTATTTTATATACCAGTTATACGCGGTTTATACACAGTACAAATCCAATATGAGATGATTCATTAGATATAAATTAATAAATAAATCAAGTATGTATAAAATATTTTTTTATACGAACCCGCTAAAACTCAATGTGAACCCGTTTCACCCGACACGATTGACAGATCTAAGATTAATAATGGACCCTAATATTATATGTGACTGATCACCATCATTCCAATAGTTGAGATTGATTAAGTCGACAATTTAAATACAAATAATACTATTGTTTGGCTTTAATGGTCAAGAATTATAAAGTTTACAGAATTGTAGACATGCTAAGCTACTTCATGTGATCGACTTTCAAACCGTTTGTATGTTTTTTGTTTTTCCAAATTCTTTTTTTTTTTAATTGTTTGTGACCTTCTTTCATAAGGTTTAGTAATATAATTTTTTTTTCAAAGTCAAATAAATGCAGAGAATATATATCAAAAAATGAGAGATTCCATTAATAGATCGAGTTTCCTTAAAAATGGTCACATGGTTCCATTATTAAGGCAATTAGTCACATTAATTCTAAGTCTATGGGGATGCATTGCATATTTATATACAAGGATCAAAATATTGTTTCGAAACAGTCAGAAACATCCTAAACGTTTCAGTTTTCAAAGAGATTCAAACGAATCAATGATGGAATCGAAATTCTAATATGTTGAGGTATTCCATAATATTTCGTGATATTTTGAAATATTTCAATGTATTTGCATAATTATTTTGAAATGTTTTAAAGTATTTCAAGTTATTTTGATATATTTCGATTAATGTTTTGAAAAAATAACTCTTGAATTTTTTATTATGTTTCTGAAGCGGGTCGAAACGTTTCTGAAATACGTCGAAATATTTTTATTTTTTAGGTAACCAAAACAATACACCGAAACAAAAATTTGATGCTTGTTTATATACCAAGAATTCACTCTCCCGGTATTAATCATGGTAATTGTCCGGTGCATGTAGGATGAGGGAGACTACATGTGTCCAGGACGATTAGTCAGACATTCTAAAAAACCCGTATATAACCTGAATTTAAAAATAAGGAAAAAAGTGGTCTACTGTTTGTAATATGTAAGTAGTTTCATTTAGATAGGAAAAAGAAAAAGGTTGTGATGGTGGCATAAGTGCAGGAATGGGATACAACAAAGGCTTAACTCATGGCAAGATGGAGTATCCGGCACCAACTGCCCGATCCAACCGGCTAAGAATTGGACTTATGTGTTCCAGACCAAGGACCAGATTGGCAGCTTCTTCTACTTCCCCTCCATCAACTTCCACAAGGCCGGTGGTGGTTTCGGCCCCATCCGTGTCAATAATCGGGTTGTCATCCCAGTACCATTTTCTCAACCCGAAGCCGATTTCGACCTGCTCATAGGGGATTGGTATAAGCAGAATTTCAAGGTAATTTCGTCCCTAAAAATGTCAGTTTGGTGATGAATTTGTGATAAAATTTATCAGTTTTTCAAAATTTTTAGCTAATTTTGGGTTTTGTTGTGGAAAAAAAGGATGTTAGGTCCAAGTTAAATACCACCTCTGAGGCCTATGATAGTTCGCCCGATAGTATGCTTATGAATGGCAAAGGCTCATATTTGGATCCACTTGCAAAAGCCCATGAATCCTTTACTGTCACACCAGGTAAAGAAACAACACTGATATTTTGCTTACCCGATCACGATCCTACAATTAGGTTTGTCAATGTATTGGATGTTTCTCTTGGTCATTTTCATGTTTCATCTATACATTGGGCCCATTGGGTCACTATGCAGCTTCGCTAATTTCTACCCTTTGATTATGTTTCATGTGTACAGGGAAGACATATCGATTCAGGATCTCCAACGTTGGCATAGCATGGAGTATCAATTTTAGGATCCAAAACCATCGGATGGTTCTGGTTGAAACCGAAGGATCGTACACCAATCAAATACCGTTGGATTCTCTCGATGTGCATGTCGGCCAGTCCTACTCTGTTCTCGTCACAGCCGATCAAAATGCAGCTGATTATTACATTGTTGCAAGTCCTAAACTGGTGAATGTCACTGAACATAGTCCTCTTGTGGCTGTTGGTGTGTTGCACTATGACAACTCCACCATACCTCCAAATGGGCCTTTACCTATAGGGCCAGATCCATTCAACCGCGAATTCTCGGTCAATCAAGCTCAATCCATCAGGTAAATGATGCTTTCAATCACAAAACTCAAATAGAAAACGATTAGAACGATTCAGGAAGGATTAGCCGTTTTACAAGAATGACACAAATAGAGAAATGGATGTATAATTCAGAACACGGAGCCCATAAGTTTCTGTCTGCAGGTGGAACTTGACCACTGGTGCAGCCAGGCCTAACCCACAGGGAACATTCAATGTATCAAATGTGACACTCTCACAAACATTCATTCTCCATGGATCAACAGCTGAGATTGATGGTGCTCCTCGCTATACTGTGAACAATGTGTCCTATCTCACTCCAGATACCTCATTGAAGCTGGCTGACAGCTTTGCCAACGGGTCTGGGGTTTACCTACTTGATGAATTTTCTGCTAATTCTTCAAGGCCGATGTCTGTGAATGGTACTTTTGTGGTGAGTGGGAAGCACAAGGGATGGCTTGAAATTGTGTTCAAGAATGATTTGAGTGTCATGGACTCCTGGCATTTGGATGGATTCGGGTTCTACGTTGTAGGGTAAGTATCACCAGGTTTTTCATTACATATACATACATCCGGGTGCAAATATTTTGTCAAGTGTGTTAGTGTCACGTCGAAATGAAGATATTCTAATAAGTTGGTCAACTTAGACATGACATTACTATTAACTAATCATATCAACATCTCTCTTAGAAATTAAGCTCACATTTGGTGTTCATATCTTTGAGGTTTGGTGATGGAAACTGGACACCCAACTCCAATTCTACCTACAACCTTTATGATCCAGTAGTCCGCTCCACTGTTCAGGTTCTCTCTCTCTCTCTCTCTCTCTCTCTCTCTCTCTCTCTCTCTCTCTCTCTCTCTCTCTCTCTCTCTCTCTCACACACACACACACACACACACACATTCAGTCTGAGGCTAAGGTTTGATAGAATATTATCAGGTGTACCCAGGAGGATGGACTGCAGTTTATGCATACCTAGACAACCCAGGAATGTGGAATTTGAGGTCACAAATATTGAAGCATTGGTACTTAGGCCAAGAGCTCTATGTGAGGGTTTATGATCCTGATCCCAACCCCAATAAAGAGAGGCCACCCCCTGGAAACCTACTGTTTTGTGGTTAGTGCCTCTACCCCCATTATCTACTCAAATGCATTTTGATTTTCATTCTCGCAATTGTATTAAATTTGATTGTAATTCTCGCAATTTGTCAATCGTGTCAATTTTGCACTTGAGCTTAGCATGTGCGTGACTCGCTAGATTTGTCAAGTAATGAGCCGATATATACTCTACTAAACACTAATTGTATATAACACGAATCCAATTATACATAATTACAAAAAGGTCAAACATATATTGAATAAAGTTTGACATAGACAAGTGACATGATCCATTATGACCCCCAAATCAAGTCTAGCCTTGTTGGTTATCTACTTTTTTGGTAACTATGAGTATTCATTTGCTTGGATTCACTGCAGGAAAGATCGATCCTCCTCCTCCACCACCTTCGACGCCGAAGCCAATTCCTGCACCGGTACCAGTGCCGGTGCCGGATGCGCCATTGCCAGCTAGTGCAACAACTCCACAAATACCATGGTGATGATCCAAATGTTTGATTCAATAATGATACTAATTAATTCATATTACATCTAAGTAACTGTGCTCCCTCTTTTTGAATTTTGCCAGGTTTCATATCTTCTTGGTCTGCGTTCTTACAACTCTACTGTGAATTCAGATCTTATCAATAGCAAGGTTGATGTAGAATCATCTCCATATTTTCTTTGGAGTTTTTCATTTTTTTTTTAGGGAGTTTGGATTGATGGAAAATTTTCATTAGTAAAAAGTAAATAGCTTACAGGTACCAACATCAGCATGAAAAATTCTCCTTGATGAAAATTTTACAAAAAATTGTTCTTTATCAGCTGTGTTTGTGTGTATATATATATATATATATATTTTTTTTTTTTTGGTAACGGGAATTACTTCAATCACGCGTCTTTTGGTATTTCAATTGTTGTTATGCAAAACTCGGATACACATAATCACTCACTAACTGTGGCCATATATTTGTTTATGAGCAATATTACTTAGACTTAATTTGTCGATCTAATTTGTTGATCTAATCATTCTTAATCATTGGTTTGACATTAAGTTCTCGTATAACTTGATACTCACAGCCAATCCAATATCATGATAGATTAGTCGTTCTCTTTGTCATTCTCAGATCTTGAGATCCAACTTCTCTCAAATTCTCTTTTGCTAATTGTTTTTTTTTTCCATTGAATTTCTCAATGATTATTGATATGCGACTTACTTATATGTTTGGGTAAATTATATTTTACCCTTTTGAACTATTACATTTATTTCACTTTGTACCTTCAATTATAAAGAAAAATATTTATCTATGACTTTGCCTTTCCTAAATTTTAAATTTTCTTCTACAGGTCGACTTTTTAAGCAAAAGAGATAAAATAAAGTGGCACTAGGCATTTGGCGGGAAGCTCTTTTGGGCTTTCCTTCCTCATTTTGACAAGTTTTCAAGTTTATCGTTATCTATTTGAGTGATATGAAAAAAAATTGATACTTTAAAATATAATATAAAAAATTTTATAATTGAGAATGTAAAATAAAATAAAGATACTTCAAAAGGTAAAGTGTAATCTACTATGTCTATTTCTAGTCCCATTTGAATTAATGCTATCATCAAAACACCTTTTAGGGAAGTATATCGTAGAAAATCTAACTCTTACGTTGCAGTGGCTTAAGAAGGACACCCTTGCTCAGCTAATTTTTTAATCATTGCTCTTTCAAAAAAAAAAACGAAAGATAAAAATAGAGACAAACTTGAGAAAAGACATATAATAGTCATTTGATTTTAGTTCTCAAGGTTAACTCATATGAGGTTCACAGCTATATTTAGGAAAGGATGGACTGTGATTCAAAACTTCTTCAACCCACTAGGAGAAAATTAGAAATAGTATTACAATTCTGGGCGCAAATAAATCTTATCGTATTGAATTTTTCGTATCTAAATTGTATCATCAAAAAACTTGTTTAATTCATACACCGACACTTTTATAATCATGTTCATATCGTATATAAATGGTTCATCATCAAGTTTGTGTCAATCTACTTTTAAGTCGATTAAAGCTAATCTCGTAACGAAAAATTGGTGTTGGATTGATGGGCGAGTATATGGCCATTAGGATAGTAATTCTCTACAAATTCGGCTTAAATTAATAGTGAGTGATCTATAAATTTAAACATAATGAAAAAACCTGAATCCAAAGGGATTATTAACCTCACAAGTTGCCCTCCCTCTCCCTCTCTCCCCTCTCTCTCTCTCTCTCACACACACACACACACATACATATCCTCAAAAACAGCTCGATTGCAGGATACGCCACAAGACATGGGCCAACGTTTGGTATACCGCTCTTTGTCATCTCTAATCATTCCTTCTAATGGATATTATGGCCTAATTTATGCAGACACACATGTTCATGTCACTTGTTATTTAGACGATCTAACTACATGCTCATGAATCCGCCAAACTTAATCAGATTTCTTACGACTTGTGACCCCACTCTGCTAAAATCAGTGGTTGTATGATATCTGCTACTATTTTTGCCAGATCATGAGTCCCTTGATTTATCACTTCCATGTGATTGATTACCACTGTCTCATGGCTTCTGAGACATTGAGTGATCTGTCCAATTAACTAAGGATACCACGCCCACCTATTTAAAGAGTAATTCAATGCACGAGACTCTCGTCACCATAAGGTCCGGAACGATTTATATAGTCATACCAATGGTTATTTCTCATACGCGGATTCATGACAATCAAGTTATAGTAAAAAAACTTTTACTGTTTCGTCAAAAACCCACCTTTCAATCATTATCTATGGGATGAGATTTAGTATGTTGTATTTTAATGTTGTAACTTGTTAAGTACAATAAGATGGGAAGGGAAGACTACGAAATCAATTAGGGAATGTTAAGGTTGGTGGGTCATGAAGTACTGGATGTGTATAGGTATCAAATAGGTATAATGAGTCAGCTAGTAACTAAAAGGATGGTGGTCCATGCTAAGGAAAGAACAAAAATAGCCAAGTGTTAATGTTTTCTAAAGCATTATAGTATTAGTGTAAGTGTTCAAAAGCATCATGGTATTAGCATTGAAACAATGTAAATGAAAAAAGGTGGGAGGATTCATGTGGGAAGCTAAGTTACTAACTGGCATTCCATAAATTTTTATTTTGGCACAATTGACATGACGAGAGAGAGAGAGAGAGAGGTTGGCTAAAACACCTAGACTTTTGGTTGTGGAGTTGACAGTTCCATGCCAACCCCCCCCCCCCCTCCCTCTCTCTCTCTCTCTCTCAAGTGCTTACACATTCTCTGCCACTTGACAATAACAACGCCAATAAAAATAAAAGGAAAAGAAATGCCCTTTCATGCACTCTTCATGAATCAAAATCCTATCAGAACAAACTGCATACCAATTACCAAAGAATTCAAAGAATTTCAAGTCCAATTATAAAGTTGTCAAAGAGTATCCAAAAGAATGCATCATCTTTTAAATGACAACAAATCAAAGAATATTGGTAATTCACTACTAGCTTTCAAACTAGTAAAGAAGATTGGCGTTTGAAAAATTGAACATTCTTACCTAGTATTGACAATCCACCAGAGTTGGGGTGGTGGACAACCCGAGAACAGGTTGTTTTTGCTTTTGTTGTTGTTGTTGTTGTTGCTGCTGTTGCTGTTGCTGGTGCTCTTCGTATTGTTGCTTTGAGGTGAAGGCAAGCTTGTCTCGAAGGTGATCATCTTCCGGGGCTGGAAGATTGAGATCCAAAGATAATGAATTTCTTGACTTCCTGCCTTCCTCAGACCGATCCAAGGAAATTGGACTCAAAGATAGGGTTGTGTTGGTAACCGCAGATCCCCGATGGCGCCTCATGTGACCACCCAAGGCCTGTCCGGACGTGAATTCAGCCCCACAAATCGAGCAATCATGAACCTTAGAAGAATTGTTATTGCTATATATTCCTCTATTGCTCAATTGAAGAGAAAGAGAAGATATGTTGCTCTTAAATGGTGCTTCTTCGTCATCAGAGAACACCAATGGCTTCGTTTCTTCCGCGGCCATGGCCTTATTCTTTTTGTGACTCGCCCTGTGACCTCCAAGCGCTTGAAACGAAGGAAAAGTCCTGTTACAAGTCTTGCACTCGTATACATAGATCCCCGCCTTGCCATTTGCTGTAATGGGCGCCTCCACATATCTTTTGCTAGTAAATTTATATGACTCAAACTCTTCATAATTTTGATTCCTTGGCAACTCTCTTGAATGGCCTTGAGCAAGAAGAATTAGGCACTTGGCTGTGTCTTGGTCTTCCTCGGTGGTGCTATTGGCACGTTCAGCTGAGGATGTCGAAGAGGAGTATGTGTTGTTGTTGTTGGTGTTATTGATGTTTTCTTCATTGCTTCCATAGCCGCCTTGGTCTCCGGTTGATGAATGAGTAGTGATTGTGAAAGGAATTGGGGATTGTGGCCTTTGTCTCTTGGTTCTCTTGCCTTTTACTATGTGTTTGAGATCTTTAGGAGCTATGCCTTCCTCCAAATTTTCCATGTTCTTCCTCCACAACCCACCAATACAAGGATCTAGAGGTAGGGGGGGAGGGGGTGATGGAGGAAGCTAGAGAGAGAAGTGAGTGGATATTTGTGAATGATGAAAGAGAAAGTTTTAAGAGTCAGAAGACACCCCCCAAGGGATAGTACCTGTGAATTACAGCATTAGTCATCCTATCCTTCAAGGAAGTGATTGTTTATAAAGATGCATTTCCCTTCTGCAAATTTAGGGGAAGAGAATGCTTGTGTCTATAGATAGGAGAGAGAGAGAGAGAGAGAGAGAGAAGGGTTGGCTGGAACAGACAAGAAAAGCATACCATTGTAAGTTGTAACTGAAGATATACTAAATAAGGGGGAGTGAAACAGTTGGAGGAGAGGTGGTGGTGTAACATAAAGTCCGTTTCACACTCTCTTTCTCTCACTTTGCCAACTCTTTTTTTGTAATAAAGGATAACCATTCTTTAACTACACTCATTTGAATTCGTGGTTATGATATAAATTTCGAATACAGACAATATTCCTAAAGGACGCACATTAGTTCAGGCATGACCCTTACAAAAATCATAGGTTATTGATTAGTAACTTTGTCATTCGTATTACAGTCACTCACAACTTGATGAATAAAAGACACTCAAGTTAGAGTAGATGACATAATTTGTGATCTCTAGAATCTGTGCGTGTGTATGAGAGAGAGAGAGAGAGAGGACGATTACTTTGCCTCAACGATTCTTTCTCTCTCTGTTTAAGAGAGGTGGTGATGATTGGAGTGCAAGCCTGGAACCACGGAATCTGCGGTGATACCTTTCTTTCATTGATTAAAAAATTTTATTTCTCCTTGCATTGTTGCACATGGTTGTAATTTGTCTTTTAACCCCAACAGTTTTTGATAATTTTTAGTTGTCCTACACACTCAAATTAAGTTCAGATTAACATTGCTCATTTTGATAAGGGTCAGCTTCTTAGCGAA